GGTGTCTTGGTTTGACACCATCATCAGGCCACTAGTCATTTTTTAAAAAAAGTTTAAAAAATTGTTAAAACAAATAATTCGTTACATTTGTAACTCGCTTTAGACTTAGTCTTGTTTTGTCACTCGCAAGAAATGGCAGTGTTCAGTCTTAACGATATCTTATTTTCATTGACGAATTTTAAGACGAGTTACAAATGTAACGAATTATTTGTTTTAACAATTTTTTAAACTTTTTTTAAAAAATGACTAGTGGCCTGATGATGGTGTCAAACGTTGCACAAGTGATACAAGTGTTTCATTTACTACTCTTCCGATAATCGATTTAAAAACATTAACAAATAACAACAATTAATTGTTTAAACAATTTAATAAATTGTTATAGGTATTTTTTCATACATTACGAAGATGTAGACAAGACGAAAAATTGTTTTTGTAAAAAATTGTGAACTGCACAATGATTGCAGCAGGGCACATTTTTTCTCGTTTTTGAATAAATGTTCATATTCAATTTCTTGTACGAGATCATGTATATGTACAAACTAATTAATAACTTTAAAGGTTGCGCAGTAGTTTTCTATGGCTTCTACAGCTGCGCAGTTGTTTTTAGATCGTAAATGCAGAGAGTCTTATAGAAGATCTTGTTTTAATTTCCTATGCTGAAATGGTACAATATCTTTGACAGAAATGGTACAAGTTCTGATATTGAACTTGTACAAGGAAATGTGCAAGATCTTTTACGAGGCTTTTAAGTAGGGCCAATTCCTAACGGCTCCACTCATTACTTTTTTTTGCTGGGTACCTAAATTGCAGTTGTTACTCAGGTGAAAATGATTCGTACGAATTTTGTTCGGAATTCGTTCCACACCGAAATCCAATCAGAATTCTGACAGTAAAATCTGTGAAGAATCTTTTGTAAAATTTCGCTAGGAATCCAGTTGTAATTCCGCACGAAATAATTCCTTAAAATTTTTTAAAAATAATTTCCGACCACTATTCCGAACGAATTTTTTATAAATTTTTTGTAAAAATTCCGCTCAGTTCGTAACTAATTTTCTTTTGCACAAAATGTAAATTTGAAACTCATCTCTGGAAATAGTACAGTATCTACAGAGATATAGAGACTGGCTAAAGCTTTCTATACATATAACCTTGGATTTGATGAATTACCAAATTATCACCTGGCACTACAATCAATGATTCCATAAAAGTTTTATCTTCCCCGTTAATTATTGAAGTAATATCCTCAGTTTTAAATACTTTCAAATCATTCACAAGTTTTTCCAACATTTTATCCCAACCAAAATCTTTTATATATGAATTAAATCATAACAACACCATTATAAATTGGAACCATTTTAAATTTTGTTTTTGACGCCACAAGTGATTACAAATTTCAAATGCATCTTGGAAAATTATTACATGAACAGTATTAGATTATTTTTTAAATTATTCCTTCTTTGTAATCAAATTGAACGATACGTTTTTCGTTCCAAACACAATTTTGGCGAATTGTTTTTCCACTCCACTAAGAATGTCTGTGTCGAATCCTTTAACGATGTCAAACTCATTCAAATTTATGAGCTATGATGGTTGTTTCACTCCAAAACAGGGATTTTTTCTGTAGGTAGAACCATGTGTCTGAGGGTATCGTTTGCATTACAAGGAATTGATTTGTCCAACAAAGGATATTTGTGACTACCTGTGTTGGAGATTTCATGACAAACCCATTTACCAGGATGGAGGCACCAATTACACTCATATTTACCGTTAAATTGACAGATGCATTGTAGGAAAGCTCAAGCCACAGAGTCTATACAACCAATAAGGGCAAAACATTCGATGATTCTATCTTTTCCTTTAATTTGACATTGTATTATTCCTTCTTCAGAAAGCTTATTCATATTTTCAACGAACGGTTTCAAGAAAATATTCATGTTAGGGTTCTTTTTTCCAAACCATAATCCTACAGTTACTATTTTATCACTGTATATATCTCGAATAAAATTATCATCGTTTGATTGATCATTTACTACTGAATTGTAATACACTGGAAACCCCAAGAGAGGTCTTTTCTAGAGAGGACTATAGACGCGCCGCGGTAAAGAGTCAGGGGAAAAGAAATGGGCGGGATCAGAAATAGAATAGTATACGCAGAAGCGTTTGTTTTGAGGGTACTCTCTTTCGGGCGATATTTTTTTATTGCCATAATAGAGTTTGTTAGTGTTAATAAATTTTTTTTACATATAGTAATATCCGTTTTCGGGTAATATTTAATATTTTTGAAAAAATTTGTTAACACTTATACAATTAAAATGAATTTTGTCAAAAACCACGTCTTTACGGTTCGCTTTATGACCCTGAATGTTTACATTTTTCAACGTCAAGGTGGCGTTAAGGACGAATTATGAAGAGAGGTAGAAGACTTTTGCCGTCCTCTCTTCGCAGGTTCCAGTGTAATCACTATGTGAATTAATTATTTCAGCTATTTGTGATAAAACATCAAAAAATACGAAAAAATCATTATAGGAAGAGTCTTTTACATTTATCTGAAGGTTGCAAAAATTGCACGTAATACTTTCATGTTTGCTGTATGCCACGAGGTTAGAAATAAGGCGCAAAGCCATATAAATGTATGTTAAAAATAAGTATATGCAATTTAGCAAAAAATCCTGGCTGCTGCTTTTTTCGAGATATCAACAACTTGATATTACAGCTTCAAAAAGAACCAAGGAGAGACAAAGAATCTTGCAACTGCTCCATTTGTTTAACTGCAAGATGTAACGGTCATACAAAAGCTATTATAGATAAGAGCCATAAATGAAAATGTAAGTAGCAATAACTGAAGAAAATGGTTTAAATGCAGCTTCATGCACAGGAAAAAGTTATAGTTCTTCAAACGCTTCTAAGATATCTAAAAGAAGATATTAAAATTTGTAAAATTTGTTTTAGAGAAATTGGCTAAGGCATTCGTCATGATTGTAGTAATAAGGAAAATGTTTTTTTAGTCGATTATCTACAAAATATCGTAATGAACTTTCCCGCAAAAGATCAAGACAAGGTTGTTCTCTCTATTCTAAAAGAAAACACTGGAAAAATATTCAAAACCAAAAATTTGAACATTCGACGCGACGCAGGAAGAAAAGAAATTCCCAACAGTTATAAAAACCATGCGACTGAAAAAGGTAATTTTTTGAAAGACAAATATAGAGTAGGTAATCAAGAGTTTGATGTCGAAGGGTCCGAAGGCAAGAAATTTAGTCCAATCGTGCATGCCGACTAAACCATCGTAGAGTACCTTAATATGGTTGGCGATTAATTCTTAAAAATTATAGCATATTCAGGCCAGGGATTTTTCAAAATTTCACAGTCGTTGTTTTCTAAGAGGAAACATGAAGAAAAATCGGATGCTCTTATACCGACCAAACGATCAAAATATTCGGAAGGAGATAGGTCCTGTAACAACGCTCCATTAACCAGTAATACAAAATCATCATCCTTTGCATAGTTTCTAAAATTAAAGAAAGCTACTATAACCTGCAGTACTTATTTAATTTAATAATTATGTAAATAATCGGCTGCTGTTATTGACAGTAAATGGACAACAAACCGCCAATGATTTCAAGAAATGGCCTAAGAAACTTAAAGTGGACCCAAAAAATTACCAAGGTGAAATCTTTGAATGCAGAAAGCTTTTGAAACATGCAGATGAACTGTACAATAAGGAAATTATTGATAATAAAAAAATACGAATTGAACCGTGTTTGTTAATACAAATGGTTCAATTCAAATTTTTATTTTTTAATTATGAACGAAGTTGTTCATAATTTTTTTTCTATTTCAAGAAAAAACAGTGCGGTACTTGCCAAAACATTAAATAACTAAGAAAAACTTTTGAAGCAACCGAGGTATCAGAATCTTTGAAGATACATATTATTCTTAACCACATTCTACAATGTTTAGAATTTCTTTATGATAACAAAGGTTTCGGCTTATGGTCTGAATAACCCGATGAATCTATTCACAAAGAAATTTAAGTGTTTTGAAACCGGTACAAATTTAATTTGATGGATAACCAGTTTATACGTTATCGAATGACAAAAAGACGTGGTAGGATTTTCATCAAGACATTTGTAGTTGAAATATGTTTTAATAAATTATGTTTGTACAATGTCTAACAATAAGTATTAATAACATTAATTAAACAAACCAAAAAATGTTCAAAATTACCTTTCAAACGGTTAAATATGTAAATAAGCAAGACCTTCATAGAATACTTAAAATTAACGCTCCTGAATTTGGATAGCTAATTATGATTTAGCCCTTCTTTTCCCCTGATGTCGCTAAGCGTCGCTACTACATCTGGTGACTCTCTTGGATCAGACTCTTTTAGGAGTTCTATCTGTCTATATAGACCGCTCAATATCATATGAAATTTCTCATGTTTGTACCACCTCTATTAAAACACAGGAACTTACTTTGAAAATAATATTTCTACTTACACTGTATAAATAAACTTGTGTGGTTCAATGTTGCCTCGCTCACTGTGTACACTAACGTTCACACCAAAAATTGTTTTTAGTAAATTTTTCCAAGATTTGAAACTTTTTAATACATCGAAATATTATAGTTGACACCCGAAGTGAACAAAATCGCAAGTTATCTTATTTAATTTAAAACCTTCTGTTTCAATAAAATACGTCATTGTATTTTCAGCAGTTTTCTTCTTTAGTAAGTAAAAACAGTTTTTTCAATTTTTCTTTGAAAATAAATATCCTACGTGCCGCAAAATTTTTGACATAGTCTGTCTACGTAAAAGTAATTTATATCTATAATGAGAAAAAAATTTTAATCTGTCATTTTTTAGAAAATTAAAGTACTTTATATAATGGCCACTCTCCCCTAGAAAAAAGGACTAGAAATTAAAGAGAAATTTCCTTTTTGTGCAATTTCCTTTTTGTGCCACTCTCCCCTAGAAAAAAGGACTAGAAATTAAAGAGAAATTTCCTTTTTGTGCAATTTACTGGTAGTGTTTAAAGATTGCGTACAATAATTCATAGCGATAACATTTTTACTTCATATGGAAAAAATTGTAAATTCAAATTTTGTAAATTTTGCAAATTAATTTTGTAATTTGCAAATTTCTTGTCGCAAATGAAAGAACAAAAGTTTAGGATATCTGGTATTTTTATCGATTTTGCAATAAGTGTCCAAATTGGGAGAAAAATCATTTTGAAATTACGTTTATGTTTAAGCAGCCATTTTTAAATGGTAATAACTGTCTGAAGTTGCGGAACATCGTTTATATAATATTTATGTCCATTCATATAAATAGTATTTAGCTCATTTACAATATCTATCATTTTTTCTTCTTTTGGCATTTCTTCGATGGAATCAACCGTCATATATATTATTGTCTGATTGTCAATGGTTTCTTCAAATGTTTCAATTCGTTTATATTTTTCAGCAATGGTTAAAAAATGGGATTTGATTTTATTCCTGCTGAATTGAGAGACGTCTGCTACTCCGCAACGATTTTTCAGATGTATCTTGATAAATAATATTATTCCTGTATCGATAGTATTATTTAAGATATTTGTTAGTACAAAATCACGATTTTCACTGCATGCTTCTTTTAAGTTTAAAGTCACAAAATCTGTTGTATATAGGTAATCGTTTTGAGAAGTATCAGTGACATAAGAAGCCTGATAAAGTACAATTGGATCTTCATTAAATTCCTCATCACATTGTCTAAGAGCCACTCTCAAAAGTGCAACTTCTAAATGACTGGTAAAACGAAGTTCTTGTGTTTCGTTTAATTCATAGCAAATTCTAAAATAATCTTCAAATCTGATTTTTCGTTGTAAAATATCTAAGTGTGTGATGTAAGTACCATAATAGTAACTGAAAATAGAGCTCGTTCTTACGTTAAGTAGTGTCATCAATTTCAAGTAACATTGTCCACAGGCATGTGGAAAATAAAACTTTGATTCATATAGCACATCATTTATGTATTTGTTATTATCAATCATCCAGAGTGAATAAAAGTTCATAATCGTCATGTAATTTGTATAATTTTTAGCCAATTGAGCATATGTCAGTAAATTCGAATTGTCATCATCTACAGATAATATGTAACTCTTCAACATATTTACAGCTTCAGTAAATGTTTTCGTTGGCACATTTGACGAGATGAATTTTGCAGCTGTTTCAATAGCATCCATCCTTCTTGAATATCTTGTGTTAGAAAGTTCTCTGTGTTCTATAGTATTTCTAATATTAAACCATCTATCAGGCGATAAATTGTTTCTTATTTGATCCTCTTCTTCAGGTGAGTCTTCATCAATTACTAGAGCATTACTATCACTGTCGTCTGACGAACTTTCTTGTCTTCTGAACCGTTTTACTATTTTCAAATCGTTCATTTGCATACTCTTTAAATTTTTCTCTGCATTCCATATTTCAGTGAAAATAGGTAAAACATACTCTGCAAAGGTTCGTTTAATTGCAAGAATATTAAGATTTCCAGATTCCTTTCTTAACGAGCAAACATTTTTAACAATGAAATTCTTTGAAAAATTGTGAAACAAAATTTCCTGTAAATTGGAAAAGTTTTTGTTTGTGTTATTCCTGAAAATATTTCTTACATAACCTGTAATGTTGCCATGCGGAGCAAATAGTGCCACATTAATTATATACTTATAAAATCTGTTAGCGTCCTGAAAGTTATTCAGCATTTTGAAACCGGAAATATCAGTTTTATTGCAAATTTCTTTAAAAAGATGAATTTTTGCCTCGGATTCATTAGTCGACATGTTTAAATATTCAAAAAATGCATTTACAACTGGTACTGTTTCACTTTTAACTGCAGATGAAATCAGTTTATTATTATTGAAAATAATTCCTAAAGTCGTTATGTAGTGACAGACAGAAAAGAAGTGATTGTTTGATATAGAGGAAACAAGTGTTGTTGTCTCCATTCTAATACACTTCGTCCTCCTGTTAGGTTATAACTGATTAAGCGGAGTTTTACACTGTTGTATATATGTTTTTACATGTAACCTGAAAATACAAATGTTATATCCAATATGATCCGATTTTTAAGAAAGAATTGGTAAAATTTGTTTCATTGTGAGCAAATTTTTCAGTGGAGAAACGTGCAGGTATACAAACGCCTTTGAAAAAAAAATATTTGGCCAAAAAAATTATTTAAAAATTTTATTATGAAAAGGGGAAGAAGTTAACATATGTTTTTCAAATTTATGTGTAAGAAAATACTAAGTAGCTTTCTTTATGTAATGGACAATCTGTAAATAATACTTTTACATGTGCTTTGTCCTTAACCTTTTTCATTAAATCTATTCCAACTTAAAATGGAAGTTCAATTTCATATAACGCATGAATCACAATCTTAATAGTTTGTGACAAACGTAATAAAAACTCTTGCCACGAACTAATAAGATAGTGACAGAAAATCCACGTTTACAAAAAGATATGCTAAATAACAATTTTTAAATTTATTTCTAGGAGAATAATAAATATCTTTTTTCTATGTAAAGGTTAATCAAGAAATAGGATGTTTAGTTGTACAAGGTGGCCACCGAGTTTTAATTTTTTTATGCTGATTATTTTTATAGAATTTTTAGATAATTCGTAACAAAATAGTTATATTTCAATGCGTCATTTAATAAAACAGAATAGTTTTTTTGTAATGAAATTTTAATTTAAAAAGACTAAATTTTTTTTAAAATCTTAAAAAAGGCGTGGAAAAGTCTTGAATTTATATGTTCAAAAACACTATATTTTTATGTTTAAAATAAAATAGCCACTCTCTTTTAACTAACACCATAAAATATAAAATTACTCACCATCAGATTCTTAATTCGGTTCTTTCGAGATAAAATAGTACGTTCTACTGTGAAATATATGTATCTTCATAAAGCTTTTATAGTAGTAATAGCTGTGGCCGTAGTAAGCAATACAATTATTATCTTGAAATCGTGACCACGCTGTAAACATTTCTATTTTATTAAAATACAACAGTAGAAATTTTTTTTTTAAATAAACTGCGTGAAATATTAAAAAATATTCATTTTTTCTGTTACTTAATATTTCGTCCTACCAAGAAACCATTGATCCTCGCAAAGGTTTAGAAAAACTTATTTTGTTCTCTTTTAACTCATTCTCCAACTTTTTCCTTGCAGACCACGATATGTCTAACCAGCTAAAGTTGGACTCGGGTCCCTATTGAAAATCCCCATATGGTAGAGATACATTACGAGCAAAATTTCTGTTAAAATTCGATTTATGTTCTTTTTTTTTTTATTTTTGCTTAGGGACTTTTAGGAAATCTGCCTACAGATACCTTGGATTCCGCACTGCAAGGTTATGTGGGGTTGGTATGATAAAACAAAAGGAAATATAAAAAAGAGAAAAATAAATATATATATTATAGTAAATTTAATAAACTGGCGACCTACTACCAGCCCGACCCACTAAAACCCGTAACCCTTCTTCTGGAGCCCTTTACCCTCCCTCGGAACTGTCGTAAGACTTTAGCCTTCGAGGGTGGCGCTCCGACTCTGTCGCTCATGCGACTTTGTTCTCTCTCTGCGGTTCTTCTGCGTCAATAGTTAAAATTAAAAACCATTCCAATGTCAAAGAATAAAGGAACAAATGTTAAAAAGTATTAAAAAGATTAAAAGGTTAATAGATAAAATTGTAAATGGACATAAAAACAAAAATTAATGTATTAAAAATAAAATGTAAAAAGGACAGTATAAAAACTACAAAAAATAATCAAAGTAAATAAAATAAACAATTAAAAACTATTCGCTCCTTTTAACACTTCTCATTTACTTTTAGTCCTTGCAAGAGTCTTCTTCGCCTCCTCAAGGGCCGACCTGAAGACTCCGCATCCTCCGCTGCCTGCAATATGGGTGGTTGACACCTTATTGCCAAACTTTTCAGTGCACAAAAAGCAGCTTGCGTTCTTTTTGCAGTTGGAGAACCTGTGACCTGCCTCACCGCACTTAAAGCACGCAGCCGATCTGTCCTCCTTCTGGTATTTGGCTCCAATATGGCCGTATCCCAGGCATCGATGACACCGGACGACCGTTAGAACTGTGGATCTTTTTGACCCAATTCTTTCCAATTGAGGAATTTTTGGATCTGGTACTTCCGTTTCCATTGGAGGAGCTTCCTCCTTCTTCCTCTTATCGGTTTTGGTTCGAGTCTCTTCTGGACTGTCACCCTCTCTCTTCCGTTTCTGAGCATCTCTTATGATGCTTTTGAGATTACGCCTATATGAACGCTCTCTCTTTTCCTTACGGTCCTTGCGGTTACACTCGGCACCGCTCAGAACGCATGCCAAATCGACGTCCGACTCATCGGCGACATGCTTTGCTTTTGCTTCTTTCAGCAGGACTTCGATGACTTTAAGTCCATCTTTTACCGTCTTCTTGACGCCCCTTTGAATGTCGCAAGACTCCATCATCTTTGCGACCTCCAACTCCAATTTGTCGAGACAAGTCGCCTCTTCCTTTCTGAGCCGCAAGCATATCTCGCGACTCTCTTCTATTGCCGCATCGTCCACTTCCGAGTGGATAGCGCTGCGTACGGTCTTTCCGCTACTGCAACTTGACACACTCAGAAGGCTCGACGCGCTTCCTTTTCTCCCTCTTTCTTATTCCACGATATTCTGTGGTTCTAACCTTTCCACGATCACACGTGGTACTGCAAGAAATTGTGCGCCCCCACAATCCGCGCGCACTTGAGCATCAGTCCTGGGACCGATGGTGAGATTTCCCGTTTCCGGCCTGCTCACATGGGGTACCTTCTCTGAATTTTCTGAATCCATTTTTTCTTGCTGTTTAGTTGCCTTTTAGTGAAAAGCCCCGCCACCACGACAAGGTCTACCGAACATATCAATGATGCCAGTCGTGTCTGGCAGCGAACCCACTTCTCCCAACTCATCAAAGAAATCAATCATGTCTGGCAGCGGACCCACTTCTCCCAGCCCATCAAAGAAATCAATGATGTTCGGCAGTGGATCCACTTCTCCCAGTACATCAAAGAAATCAATGATATTTGGCAGTGGATCCGCTTCTCCCAGCACGTCAAAGACATCGATGATGTTCGGTAGTGGACAACCATCGGCGGGGCGATTTATGTTCATTTACTCTGATATTTAAAAGTCTCTGGATCAGTCCAACATAAGTTACGTTACAATTTTAACATTTTAATTTGGACACTAAATAATTTTTTTCAAGGTTACTTAATTTGTCTTTACCGAGGTAAAAAAAATCATTTAATTTGAAAGAAATTCTAAAAGTTGTGTGCAAATTAAATTTTTTTTATTATTGATTTTACTCGTTTGGATAAGGCACTATAGTATGGAATGACAAATGTGTTTTCATATCGAGATGTATTTGTTATTAGGTTTTTTTCTTTCTTGTTATTTATATATTTTAATTGTTTTAATCTATTTTTTATGTTTGTCACAAAAATCTTTAAGATAATGATTGTAAAAAAGGAATTTTTTAACTAAAACTAAATTTTTTTCATGGTATTTTTGATCCAAGAGTATCTACAAAAAAATTAAAACTCTTTAATGTTCTAAATTGAGTGTTCTAAATCATCAAAAACTATTTCCGCTAAAATTAGTGAAATTACAGCTCCTATAGGTGTACTATTTAATTGTTTATAACATTTATCATTAAACTAATAAGGAATTCGATTCCATTAAGAAATTTTTCTAGAGGGATTCTGGTTTGTCTCAAATCTCTCCCCATCTTTTTCAAATACTTTCTCTAATAAGTTCATAAGGAATACTGTCAAACATTGCTACTACATCAAAAGATATTAATTAATGATCAAAAAGAACTCACACTAGAAATAATAATAATTCTACAATTAATAAAAATTCTTGAAATAAGAAAAGATGAAAACATAATCTTAAAAATAAAAATATTATATGAAAAAGAAAATTAAATTAATTTTAATGTAATTTTATTAATCACAAATACTTTAAAACTTCAATTTAGACCCACTAAAAATAATACCTCGACCGATTTTAATTGATTTAAACATGTCGTCAAATCTATTCGCAATCCTCTATTTGGCGTCAATTTCTTAATGTATTCTTCAGTAAGTCCCATTAATATTTTCATTGTTATTTAACCACTCAATGACTGGATTCATTTTTCTTAAGTATAAAACTCAAAGTTAACACTAAAGACTGCGTCGCACACACTATAATTTGTTAAATGAAACCAATGAAATGAAGATGCATTATGGCGACCGCAGCACGCTCTATCGTCAGTATATATATTTTTAACTTGCTTAGAAGATGTTCTCAAAATAGGAATATTTCTTTCTTCGATGAGAATATAATTTAGAATATTTATTTAAGAATATAATACACTTAAAAGTAAATCACTCTTTTTTCAGTGGCGCGAAGGAATTGTAGTTCAAAATTTCAGAATTGTACAGAATTATTGTAATGTTAGGCTGTGAAATATTCTCTAATTTTTCAACTGTTTTATTTGTTCCTGTAACTCTTCGTTCAGTTCCTTATCTTCTTTTTTCTATTCAGGTCTTTCAGAAGCAATTAGAAGATCTGAGGAAACAATCAGTTTGTGAATTAAATCTTGCATGATGTGATAGCCTGAGATTTTCCTTGTTTGGTAATGTTAAATGTGTTTTATATCTGTATTTCGAGCTTCAGAAGCTTCTTCCGAATACATGCAAATTGGTAGTACAACTTTTTTCATTACATTTCCTCTATAAACAAGTATTTTGTGTACTGAAGAAGGCATGTAAAACCACGGAAACAGGGAGACTAAAGATCTGCGGTTTTCAAACCGCAGTCAAACCGTTTTCAAATAAAGAGAAGATTCTTCTATTGCTAGATAGCATTTACAGTGTGTGGGAAAATATTTTAATCAATTGTTTGTCTACCCCAATTACTTCTGCAGTTTGATCAACATATGCAGAAAATCTTCGTGATGTATTACCACAGTTTGAATTGCCTGATCCCTAAGTTGTTTCATCAACACGCTGCAGATTGTTCTTTTCTGAAGACTTAGCTCCACAAATGTAACAAGTAGAGCTTGACAAACCTTACCATCAACCATTGTTAATTGGTATACAACGTTTTGGAGAAGAAGTGTGTAGATTTCTCCGAACAACAAGATTTAGTTAAAATGACAGTGGGAGTAAGATTTGAAAGTTTTGTTAGCTTGTTATAAAACATTTCTTTATTTGGGTTAATAATTTCCTAAAGAGACAAAATAAGTGAAACCGGCCACTTAAACAATTTTTGTTTCCAATTTTCAAGTTATCTATGATTTTTGGTAGATATATGAGCACACTTTTTCCCCCTACAATATTTTTCAAAAAAAAAATATTTTTAAAGTAATCAGGTGTTGAAGTTTTAGTTAATTTTATTTTAATTTTATTATTACTTTGAAACAAATAAAGATAATCAAGTGAATTTTTTTTAAATTAAAGCTTAAAGTCTTCTTTTAAACAATTGCAAATTGATGAATGTTCTCAATGTTTTTGAAAGATAAATTACCATGTATTGATCCGCAAAACTCCAAGGATTAATTTTAAAAAAAGAAAAATCAGTATCCTCTAATATTATAGAAATTTTGTAAATTTTTCTACCAAAATGCAGGCGAAGATCGACTCAAAATCTTAAAAATCCGCCTGAAAGCGTGAAGTTTCTAACAAAACAAAAGAAGATCTCATTTATTTGTTTCCAATTTTATCTTTTTCCGGGAAAATCGACTCGATTTTCACCTGCATTTTGGCAGAAAAATTTACATAATTTCTATAATATTGAAGGTTACTGCTTTTTTAAAAATAATTCTTGGAGTTTTTCGCATCAATACATGGTAATTTAATCTTTCAAAAACATTTAGAACATTCATCAATTTGCAATTGTTAATAA